GCAGGGGTGGCCCCACTGGCTTCTCCAACAGGGAACAGAGGGCACTCAGAGCGGATGGTGTGTGGTCAACTTAAAGGCAAAGATGGACTAAAATACTAAAATTGTTTCAAGCAGTTTCACATTAAGAGCTACCTCATCTATCCTGACATTTTGGGAAATACAGGTTATACACACATAGTAGAAGGCCTTACCAGTGAGAAAATGTAAAGCCAAGTAAACTTAAATTTAAAACACACACTCAGTACTGCTTGACCAAAACTACACAATCAACCACAAAACACCAATAAAACACAGACACACAACTTTGGAAAGAAGCTACTTCAGTAAAATCTTTTATGAAACAACTCAGGGTAAAAATCTAGCTGTTGGGGAGGTCAGGAAAATCCCCCTGCCTAGTGGCAGGCAGCAGGACTTGAAGGCCAATCAGCCTCGCCTGGAGACAATTACTGTATGGCCCAAAACCACAGGAATGAGGCAGCAGCCATGTACTCTGCTCACAACTCACAGCTGTCACTCTTAGCTCTTCACACACAGGTTTCTTCCTAGTAAGGGTGGAGCAAAAGATTCCACACTGATGTACTAGAAAATCAACACAGTTAACATTTACAGTTAGACTCCTTCCCCGTGAGTAGAGACTGCAAAGCCAGCCGGAGCTGGCCGGGCCACCGCCACTGCCACCGCCAATGAAAACGCCTTGGGAAAAGCCAAAAGTGCTTGCCGCTAAACACCATTGTCAGCTAAAGGGAAAAAAAATCCCTTTTAAGGAAAGTAACTTCAATAGGCTCCTTTTCTGCCAGGACCTCCAATCCCTCTGAACAGAAGCCGAACCACAGACTGCCGCACGTATGTCTGGGTCCTGGCTTTTCTTCCCTCACCCCTCCGCAGAGCTGCAGCACCAGTTGTTAGCCAAAAATAAACACCATTCCTCAACCATATATGTCCACCGGCCCAGAGCCGGGGAGGAGGAGAGCAGGCAGGTCAGCCCGTCCCCTGGCTGCAGCTGCACTCACATGTGGCCACTGCTCACCATGCACATAACCCAGCTCAACCGGGAGTGCCTGCTGCACCTCTTCTCCTTCCTAGACAAGGACAGCAGGAAGAGCCTCGCCAGGACCTGCTCCCAGCTCCACGACGTGTTTGAGGACCCCGCACTGTGGTCCCTGCTGCACTTCCGTTCCCTCACTGAACTCCAGAAGGACAACTTCCTCCTGGGCCCGGCCCTCCGCAGCCTCTCCATCTGTTGGCACTCCAGCCGCGTGCAGGTGTGCAGCATCGAGGACTGGCTCAAGAGTGCCTTCCAGAGAAGCATCTGCAGCCGGCACGAGAGCCTGGTCAATGATTTCCTCCTCCAGGTGTGCGACAGGTAGGCCACCTTGCCTCCTGGGCAGTGCTGGCCCCGCTAGCTCTGGCTTCCCTCTTGGGGGGCAGGGAAGAGCAAATTACAAGACCAAGATGGCTCCACCTTTGGGGTGCCTCAGACTAGGCAGGCCCAAGGCAGACATCCAGACCTGCCCAAAGCATGGTCCCCAGGAGATGATAAAATCAAGAGGGAGACAATTGCTAATCCTCCTCTTAGCCTTACAGGTCCTGGAGCTGCTTCATGCAAACACCAAGAAGTGGGGCCTCCATACTGGTAGTCATTAAGTGCTGGGTGGGTCCAGCTGGGCCTGGATTTTCAAGGTCAGGCTCTGGGAAAAGGCTTCCAGATGCAGCAATCAGCTCACCCCTCCCTTAGGCCTAGCAAGCAGCCCCCGAGGCCTGGGAAACGATGCGGAGGGGAGAGGTGGGGGAGCCAGGGTGCTGGGGTCAGCTAAGCCAAACCAGACTCCAGGAGTAGATGAATGACTGAGTTACACAGTACTCCTAAGGAGGGTGACTTAGCCTAATTTCTCAAATTAGCAAACTGATGCTCCACGAGGTGGTGTGATTTGCCCACAGTCTAGGGTTGCCAGGTTTTAGCAAATATATAGGCTGCCCAGTTAAATAGGAATTTCAGATAAACAGTGAATAATATTTTAGTATAAGTACATCCCAAGTACATCTTGTGTTTATCTGCTAACCCCACCCCAGACACAGACATAGACGCTGAACCACTAGGCCAGGCTCCCTCCACGGCCCCAGCCTCATGGGTATAGTGACCCAGGCAAGAACACGGAGCTACTCAACCAGCCTCTCACTGAGCCTCTGCCAGTCCTGTGCTGCCTTTGAGGAATAACACCCCCTTGATCACTTAGCAAACTGGGCCTGCTGCTCATGGAAAACTAGGCTCAGCCAGTTTACTGCCACCCAAGTTCATAGTTGCTATTTGCTGGCAGCACTACAGGAGTGGAAGGAAACAGCGTCGTGACCCCACCTTTCTTTTGAGCTGGGAGAAAACAGAAGATGGACTTGGGGCTGGGCTCTGACTGGACAAGGCCATTTTCATGGGCTTAACAAGGCCCAAGAATCAGACTAGAGAGTGATATGGCGAGGGGCGGGGCGGCGGGGGCGGCGGTGGAGCAGGGTGCGAATGGCAGAACATGTCCTGAAATTGTTCCATTCTTACTGTAAGAGAACCGAGCTTAATGCTCCAAACCTGCAGGTGTGAAGTGGACCTCCCAGGCCACTGTACTGATCAAGCAAGGGGCCCTGCTGTCACATAAAAAGCAAAAGGCTTTGCTGTCAGGGCTCTGCTGGGTCACCCAGTTCGTCCAACCATGTGATCCCAGCTCAAATATTTAAACTCTTGCAACCTCATTTCTCCTTCTGTAAAATGTGCTAAATTTTTCTTATCCGATAAGAGAATGACACAGTGGCACCTGGCACATAGTAGGTACGGATGAACGTCTACCGAATCTGGTTCTTCTGGCACTCGGCTCAGGTCGGGAGGAATGGCTGAGGATGGCTGGGCAGGGAGACAGTCCGCTCTTTGTTTTTTCCCCGTATCAGAATTATTCCAAAGATTCTTAGAGGAAAAGATCACCCAACACCTTTGAGGCTTAAACAGCTAATCCTTATAACCACCTTGAAGGTAACAATTCCTCCCACTTGACAAATGAGAAAGTGGCGCTCAGCAAGGTTCAGACATCTGTCCTGGGTTTGACAGCAAGTAAGTCACCAGCCAGTCACTTGAGCTCCCTGGGCCAGTTTCTTCACTTACAAAACTAGGGGTGCAGAGGTTGACGGGGTGACTAACGAAGGCGCATGAACCTGAAGGAGGCCTGGGCTCGGTGTGACACCTAGCTGCGCCCAGCATATTTTAGTGCCTTACTTCCCACCCCAGGCACAAAGGAGCTGAGCTGGCCCAGCCAGGGGCAGTCACGGAGCTGCAGGGGGTGCTGACGGGAAAGGGAAACGCTTCCCCACTCCAGACTCTAGCTCCCTCTGGCTGCGCGGAGCCAAGGCCCCGGCCCATTAGTCGGTCCTTCTGGACTGGAAGCAGGCTGGTCCCGTTTGTTTCCAGGGAAAGCGGGTTATGACTGCCTGTGGAAGGCCCCGTTGCAGGCTCCTCCCAACCCCAGTGGTAGACATTATTCCCCCATGCAGAGCAAACGAAGGCTCTCTGAGTGACTGACACGGCGATAAGCCAAGTCTAACTTGGCTCAAGATCTTTTTTTTTGTTGGGAGGGGCTGGTGAGGCTGCAGCAGAGAGTTCCCCCAAGCTTTCTGGGCAAGCCACCTGGGTGGGTGTCCCTGATTGTACCTGCTCAGGGCCTGCGTCTAGCTGCCTCCAATCCCTGCCCTTTTCCAGGCTGGTGGCCCAGGGGATGCAGAAACAGCTCTAATCAACTAAGCTGAACCCGGACTCAATGCTGACGCGTGCCCCCACCGCCTCGAGGGTTGGGATGGGCCTGTCACTAAGCCACCTCCAAGGAAACAAATCCCTCTTCCCATTCACGTCCCGCCGGGACATTCAGGGGCCTCAGGCTTGAAGCTAGACTGGAGCAGTCAGTCGCCACGCACCGCTCCCCTGCGAGGCAGCACATCCAGAGTGAAACAAAGAGACAAGGGCTGTGGCTCCCAGAACCGGCATTCCCTCTGTCCACAGCCGCCCCAGAACTCTGCTGGGCCGGGGTCAGGGCTTCCCACTAGGGCTCCCGAGGCTACGAGCCAAGAACCCACGCAAATGAAGGTACGGTGGGGTGCAGGGGCAGAAAGAACAGGGAAAATGGGTCGGCCAGAAAGTCGACGTGGAACCCTGCCGTGTCATCGCAGCCAAGTGTCTTCACCTCGCAGGGCCCGAGTCCTCCTTGGTAAATGAGTCCACCCAGTCCCCGGGGCGGTTGGGTGGCTTTAACAAGCCAGTGAGCCCCAGGTCACCGCACTCTCCTCACAGGTGCCCCAACCTGGCGTCTGTCACGCTGTCGGGCTGCGGCCACGTCACCGACGACTGCCTGGCCCGCCTGCTGCGCTGCT